TGTAAGAACCAGGTGGTGAAGGTGAAAAATCTACCAGCTGAATTTTCAGGTAGTATGGACAATGGAAAAGTTATGCTTTCAGCTGAATTCATCAGCATGATGAACATAAGGACATTAAGCCTGGTGAAAATTATTTACCACATACATAAATACATTTTTCCCAACATAAAAAAATAGCACCCAACCATCAAAAATACTGAGATAAGACAAGGCACAGCAGCTTTTTGGCAGAAAAGCTATTAAATGTTTTTCCAGATATTTTCAAAGGATGACAATTAAATAGAAAAAAATGAAAATTCATCCAGTATAGCTGAGTACTCACATAATTAAAGCCCAGGAGCAAGAATCACAAAGAGAAATAAGGTATTGAGCTCACCTGGGTTATATGCTGACCACATAGAAGTCAAGTGAGCTGTGTGCTTAGGAAGAGCTATTACATTTGAAAACCACATGAATGACTGCATTTCATTAATTCAATTTGAAATGCTCAGGAGCCATTTTTGCCAAGGTATTAGATGTGAATTTCATTTATTTTTATTGCGTCTTTCATTCCCCTTAGTTAAGGTTCAAGATACCAGTTACAGGCTCCTCTTCCAAATCCTTTAAAACAGAATCAAGAAAAGGGAAGACAGCACAACTGTGCACTTCAGGTGTCACTCTGACTAATACAACTGACAAATGAGGTGAGCTACTTCATTTCTTCAAACTTTCACTACTCTTAGCTCTCACTTTTTTCCCATTTAGATGATCTAATCTCCTCAGCCAGTCTTCCACATTCCATAGTACCTTGCATAACCAGTTCTAAAGTTACTGCCACAAACTAAAAAGCAGTAACAGCCATATACAACACAGAGCTCATCTGCCATTCACTGTGGGAGTTTGACGCTCTCTCCACATGCTTTTTACAGTGAGGCTTTGTGCAGTTTTGTTTGCCATGGAGAAACCTCTCTGAGATTTCTCAAGTGGTGTGACACGTTATACTAAACAGAAAACAGAATGCATCACCTATTCCAAGAACCAGGGAAAGGACCCTATGGCCAGAGTGTGTCCACCATTTTCTTCCACAGTGGCAGTGTAGGGATTTATTAGGGGGAAGTTAACAGGCCATTGAAAAAAGGGTGGAGGGTGAGCATGAATCCCTGGGTAGGGCTGGAAAGCAAAACCCTGGTGAGTCACCTGTAGACTGATGGAAGGAAAGAATGGTTGGGGCTATCAGAGAAAGGTGAGAAAAGCATGAGCAGGACAAGCCAAGGAGATCAACTAAACCTCTACAGAACTAAGTGGAAAGGGTGTGCCGGATCGTGTGCTTAAGTTAATGCCAACTTGGTTTACGTTCACTGGAGACTGTCATTACTTCATATTATTTTTCCACACCACGATAAATATTTTCTTCTCTGACCAATCCAACTATTCATTAATTTTCCCAGTTCGCATGGCAAGCAAGGACTTCACAGATCTGAGGCACAATGCAGCTTTACCCAGGTCCCAGCTATCTCTGGTTTATCACGCTTGTGAGGAGGTACAAGTTCTCAGCACTAGCAGAATTGTAATTTGAACACAGAAGGCAGACAAATTTTGTTTTCCTTAATAGCCTTAATACTACCACTTCCTAACTTCTGAATGCTTGCCTTTGCCACTGTCATATTATATGATCTACTTTCAGGTTGTAATTCTAGTATTTATAGAATATATGATAGTCACATTTTACCTAGCATTTGAAATTTTACATTAAATTGGTATAACAAATGTCACAAATTTTGTCTCTACTTCTATGCAAGAAACCAAGAAAAAAGGTAAAATTGGAGAGATTATATCCATTGTCAGAATTATGGGTCAAATAACACATATATTGGATTTACTCTTACAAAAGGTACTTTTAATGATCAGTCTATTGTATAGATTTTTCATACAAGATCAGACTAAGAGTCAGAAGAATATTTGTCAGCCAGATCCTTGGCTGTTGTAATTCATTTCCAATAATGTCCTATAAAATGAGCTGGTCTATATCAACGCTACATATCTATCCTCAATTCATTTCCATGTTATTTGACACTGAGAAATCAAGATAAACTTCTGGGTTTCACACAGCATTAAACTGAGAACAGACAAAAATGCAGAAAAGAAACAAAAATGCTTTCAACACCTCCCTGTACATTCTCTCCTGCAAACAAAAGTGCTTTGTTTTAGTGCCAGGCAATAATACTGTACACTGGTAAATGCTTAATGAAGCAGCATATTTAAGTTTGACATGCATTGTCCTAGTCACAGAGTTATAATGACTGAAAACCTAAAATCTCTTTTAGAATAAGAAAGAAATGTTTGATATTAGCACTGTGCTTAGCAAGAACTCCAGTAAAAAACAACACGGCAAAGGAAAAAAAAACAGCCTTAACCCCATTGACATACCTAGTCATCCTAGGTACAGATACCCCCCCTCACCTTCACCAGATGGGTATCAACAGCACTGATTGCCCCCTCAGCAAACTCCTCCCTTTATCAGTAGTCCCTTGCTCTAGCATAGCCAGTGGGAAACAAGAAACTCTCTCCCAGAGTTTTAAAGTAACACCAAAAGATCCTGATGGTCTGATATTCCCCTTATGCTGAGGTGGCTGTAACTGAGAAGGAAAGCAAGCCCTGCTACTTCTGACCATCACATGTAGCCCATTGCTGAAGGTATATGCACATCAGTTGCTGAAAGTTCAGTTTGTTGGGTGGCTTGTTTAATTGCTTAAATGAGACTAGTGTATATTTATTTAATACAGCTAACCGGTCACGTAAACAAGATACCATTTGCCTTCTCTATGTACAGATGAATTTATATTCATTATGAGTACTGGCACAGAATAAAACAATGTTCTATGGGCAGGAAATCCAGTCTTTTCTCCTGGTCTGCTGAAGCATGAAGATATAGATCTAGGGTGTGTAAACAGCTTACTACTGATTATGAAGATGTATCTTCATTAAACATCCTGGATATTTTGACAGGGAACATGTTTCATGCGATAGCAGGCCAGTAAGTTGACTTGAATACCCCAACCTTGCCATAGTAAACTGATACTGATTTCAAAAATCAAACCTACACTTAATAAAGTAACTCTTTTTTGTTTATTTTATAATACTAAATGAGTGAGGATCTAATATATATGGTGCTAAACAAAGTGGAAATAAGGGCTGAACTGAAATAAATTGAGAAAAAAAAAAAGGACATCATTCAGTTCAGTAACACCTGAATGGAATATTATATTGTACTGTCTTTTGTGTATTGTATTGTACTACAATATTATATTGTACTACATGTTCTTTTATGAAAATATTTTTAAATTTCTAGTTGCGGGCTAGGATTTTGATAAGAACCCAAGGGAATCAGGCATCCAACTGTGATCACATTTTACAATTAAGACACCTTCCCAACTTTGTCTCCTTCCCCTGCCTCAGCAGAAATGACAAACATTGGTAGAGACTGCTGAACTGGATCTTACCAGACATGCAGAAGATAATACTGTCCCATTTTATACAAATAAAGTTATTCCTGCATCTCTACACATCCTAGTATTTTTTTTTTCTCCTTCTCCTGTGGCTTCTCCACCCCAATTATATCTCTCAGTGCCTCTTGCTAAATCAGCAGCAGCTCTCATTCCATTTCTTATGATGGAGGTTTTTGGATCCGTCAGCTACCTTCATTCTTGTAAACTGGCAGGAGGCTGAAGATGAAGAAGAAATGAGGGCAAATGTTATGTGTACACTAAGTGCTGGACTGTCCATCATTTTTGCCAAACCTAGCCGTTTTAAAAGAATGGTTTCACTAGCTTTGAACATTTTTGTCCATCTTTTACCATGTTACAGTAAGGTCTGTTGACCTTGAAAAGAGACAGAAGTCTTCCCAGAGCAACTCATCCTACCTATCTCTGATGCCAAGCTAAAACAGAAGAATAAAGCGACATGAAGTAGCAATGCTGTTTGTGTTTACTGAAGTACACATTCTTTCCTGCTTTTGAAATGATAATCCACTAGAACTGCAAAAAGCCAATGTTCAGGAAAAAAAGTACATTAAACATTTACTGGCAAGTCTTAGAGACCTGATTCATTGCCTGTTTCTCCAATTTGTAGTCCTCATAACTCCAGGGATGTGAATGGAATTACTGAAACAATGTGATCATGCTTGTAGGCTGTAATCAATCTAACTTTTTGTTTCTCCTACAAAGCTGGTGTAAGGCTGTCTGTCTGAAATTACTCCTGATGTTTTCTACAAGAAGGCAAAATCAGATTATGCAGAAAATTCAGAAGCAGATTTCAATTCAGGTTAAATGTAGGCTACAGTCTAGGTGAAGCTAGTTTAATGTTCCTCAGAGAGGTACCTAGGGCTCGTTGGTGCCACACAGAAGTGTTTCCATGGCACACACTCAGTGTGACCGTGTGATAGTGCAAGACCCTTCCAGGTTATTAGTCTGTGCTTTTTACAAGAAGATTAGCTGCTCCAAGAGGCATGGAGTGACTTCCTAATGCTGAGTCCCCCTCATATGAAATACTCCACATCTCCTCAGACTTAGGAAATCAGTGGGGTTTTTTGCCAAGGAGCTGCCTGGCATCAGTTACAGTATTGAAAAATTCAGAGTAGTTACTTGCATGCCATCTGCATAGCTGCAAAGCAACACCAAATTAAATTTTTTCCAGGACCTGTTATTTGTGGAGGAGGAGTTGTGTTTTATTTGCAATCATGTTATGTTTCTTTATTCGACTGAACCTTAACAAAAGATATGTACGTATATGTATACACTCCTCCCAAAATGCAAATATCATTGGCCAGTTTCTGAGGAAGGAAGAGCATCCTCTGTTTACCTGTTCATTTGCTAAAATCCCCCAAACCCCACCTTTCTAGACTCTCTGAATCAATCTGGGACTGAAGCCAAAGTTACCTACTATATAAGAGTGAAAGAGCCCAGGTGAACTACTCCTCCTGACCAACTTCAGACCCAACATCCCTGTGCCAGACTCCACTCACGATGGGGTTTGGCAGGGGGATATGGGTACCACAGTGGGCTTTCCTGTTAGCAGTTTGCTGTATCCATCAGATAGGTAAGAAATGCTCTTTTTTATTGGGAAAAGCAAAATACTCTGTTTAGATCTAGTAATATATTTTAAACAACTACACTCATTTTATTGTTTCACTTAACAGATGGCTGCATTTAAGCAAGATTCTTTTTTTTTTTAATTTTCATTAAATATTTAATGTCTGTCTATGAACTGGACTGATTTACTTTAATATTGCCTCAAACTACTGCATATAACAACATTTGGAAGGTAGCCTTGAAGATCGAATAAAAAAGAACCATTATTCACGTCTTAAAACGTCAGTTTTTCAGTATCGCTTATGCCTTACCAAAGCTTTTTATTCCTGTTGCATTTTGTATTAGGCTTGATTATGAATGTTTTGCTTTTTATGAAATTTAAACCACTCCATTTTCCAGTTGCTAGATCAGTCCACTGGTCAGTCTTTTCTAGTATCTTGTCACCTACCAGGAGCTAATACCGGATTCCTCAAGATCTCTTGCAACTTTCCCTTCCCTTTAAAAGGAAATATTCACGTGACAATGATTTTCAGGAACTAATTGTGCATTAATAATACCTTATGCAAAATATTTATATAAATGACTGCTATTGAATGTGAGCAGGACCAGGAGATTTATCTGACACATGCAATCCATCATTTCATATGGATTTTTTTCCTCCTGTCAATATTACATCCATCAGGGCTGCTCTTGGCAGTTTTTATTAATATGAGTAGCCTGGTTAAATCAATGGGACCACTCCAACTGAAATTACTTGCCTGAGTACAAGCTTGCTAAATCAGTCCCAGCCATGTACAGTAATTACTGCCCTGTCAGCAAACATTTTTAAATCTTCAGATTGCCTATGTAAATTTATCTTGCATATCATTTTCAAAACACTGACAAGTGCAAATATGATTTTAGGCTACTTTATAGTTTGTGAAATAAACACTAAAATACCAGCAAGTTGATTTAAGCACAAAATACAACAGTCACTTAGAGTATAAGCTTACATGTAGAGTTGCGCAATGTCAGCCAAAAGCATCTTTAGACATTCATGGAACAAGAAATTTATTTGTACTGTGCAATGCTAATCTGATAAATCGTTTTGCAAAATGAGTAGTGGTTAGACAGTGTCCAGTAAACTCCTCTTTATTCAAATTACACTCTCTGGAAAGTCTTTTCAGATTACCTGAAGTGACTAAGGAATATTGGCCCAATTCCTTGTCATCTGCACAAACATTCAGTGTCCGACTTTATATTTTCAGTCAAATACTAACTTTTATAAATTTATTATAAAGGTAATTGCATATATGGATTGGCAGCTGGATATAGACTTAGCAAGGTGCATCCAGAAATATTCTTATAAATTAGGTCAGTTCCCAAATTATCAAATAGTAAATTATCTTGACTATTCTTACAGTTGAGAGACACTTATTTTTATCGTGGTCAGCAATGTGGCATTGCACAATTGCTAAATAAACCAACACAGCTAGAATTTCCTTAGGAATGATGTATTTGCTAAGTAAACAAAAGCCCCTGCTGTTTCCTTGAGAAAAATTAACAGTCCAAAATACAACTATATACTATTTTTCTCTGTTACAAGGGTTCTTATGCTAGAATAAACAAAGAGTCTGTGATTCTATGGCTGCTGAAATTCCTATAGATGTGTTTGGTGAGAGTAAATTCTAGCCTATTATTAAGACTTACAGCGGCATTTTTCTTGTCTGATCAGTATCAGTTTTTTTTACCTGATCAGGATTCAGTCCTTCACAAAATAAAGTTGTAGCCTTTTTTCTTTTACTGGAAACGCCTACCATATTTACTTATAAAAGACAAGAGCTTACAGCACCTACCTAGGAGCTCAGTGTCAGTCTTTTTTCTAGGCATGAAACTGTTCAGGTCAATATTTGCCATCTCTCAAAAGTCTTTGCCGATACCTTCTCTGATAAGGTATTGCTGGGCTATGCATGGAAAGGAATTAAAAACTTACGGAGTCATGACAGAGAGAAGGAGAACTCATCTGGAAGACAGTTCATGTAGTAACCATTTAACTAGAGATACAAAAATAATTCTTGAAGCAAGGCACAGGAATAGGACAGTTCTGATGTAGCGGAGTACTGTAATCACGTGATCCTATCATCATGACCTGGTTTTTCCTCCTTTGTCACTGTTCCATGCACCATGTCTCAGCTTCAGATAGGGTAGCAAGAACCCTTGGTCAATCAGGCTTACAGTATGATGCTTAAGGTTTTCTGCAGAAATGTGAGAAAAGAGGTAGAACAGGAAAGCTGGTTCTTCTGGTTACTTCTGCTGGGTTACTGCTCAGGCTGTGGGCCCGTGCGTTGTCACTCAGAGGTACCTTCTTGCATCCAGCTGTAAAGCAAATCTAGATCCCTGACTGAGGCTTTACATTTGCTCCAGAAGAAAAGGCCCCATGCTTAGGCACTAAAAAACCTGGTATATAAATATCCGCAGCCATTATTGGATCAAGCCCTAAGTCCCGTGCTTCTTTTAACCTGTTCTGTGCCTTTTCTTGTTATTACCCAGCTACTACACAGCAATTTTAATAAATTACTCATATTTTGTGACTTCCTCCTGTAATTGTGTCACATATTAATGAGATTTAGTGCAGCAGTGAAATAAGGGCTGTGATCCAGTCATTAGAATCCCTTGTAGTGAGTTTTAATTTTTAATTTGTAATAGAAAGTCTCTTTCTATAATTACATTTTACCTTTTTGGGGAGCCTGTTTCATTTTTTGTGATGTGATAAAGGACTCCCCCCGCTTTGTCTTACAGAGATGTAGCTGGGTACTTTGATTCTATCTAAATGCTTTTCTTTAAAAGTTCAGATACAGGATATTGTACTTAATACGCTTTTTACAATTTCTTCACAGGAGCCCTGACTGAAATCCAACAGGAAACAGGAATCAGATACACTGAGGGTGTTCAGCAGAATCAAAACAGTATGTTCATTTATACTGTGTATTTGTATTTATTTGCCACATCTCTTCTAAATAATAAAAATGCCTAAAAAAATCTCCTTAGCATATTGCCAGTAAAGTCAAACTAAGATACATGTGTATTAACAAGCCTCTCTTTATAAAAGAATAGTAATATATTTATTAGACACCAGTCACTAAACACACACAGTATGGTTATATTTGTATAATAATAGGTGACTAAGAAAACAGATGTGTGTTTGTAGAGGCTGTATGCATATGTGCATGACTATGTATATATAAAATCAAAGTGGAATACACATGCAGGATGTTTGGTTCCTTATAAACAAGGAAATGAGACCACTAGGGCAAGCTGCAAAGTCAGCAGCTGATGTTGGGAAATTAAGATGACAACCCAGCTTCATTGATTTTTTACAATGTAATGGTTCGTGATCATGCTGTACAATGGAATTTTGGCCATTCCTAAGGGTTTTCAGTCTCTTAAACAACAACAAAAAATTAAACAGAGAGCAAAGAGGATAATAAATGTTTTTATTCCCTCCTTAGAAAGAGAGGCAGCTATGCTTTTGTAACAATAACAGGCTAATTTAGTCCAGTTTAACCCTTTGTATTGTTTGGTGTGTCTGAAGCACTCCAATATGCAGAGCTGTGAATTCCTGCCTCTCCTAACACAATACAGAGTTTCGGAAAAGGGTCCAAATTAAAAGGTAGAAAACACAGATCATCACAGTTGAAAGCAATTTCTTATGATTTAACTATCCCAATTTTGAATTCTAATGCACACTTTTAACCTGATCCATGGCCTGTGTAAAACAAAACAGGCTTAACATTGTTTCATTGGATCAGGCATATTAACTTTCTAGATCAATTTTAGGTTCAAATTTTGGTATTCTTATACTAGTTTTTGTTTTCTTTCTTACTTTTTTCTAGCTTCTGGTACAGTTTCATCTAAGGTGAACATCATCCACCCAATGCTGACAAATCCAATAGTAACACGTAAGTAAAGGAAATGAAGTTTATTCAAGAAGTTTTCAATTTTAGGGGATGTAGCAGAGGAATCTAACACAAATAGGGAAAAGCACTAAAGGATGTAAAGGTAAAGGATGTCATGGATTATTAAGAGGAGAAAGAGAGTGATTAAGAAATATAATATTGAATTGTTATCTTATCTGAAATGTGGACAACTAATAAAGCTCTAGCTGAACATAACTATAAACATTTATAGGGGTATATAAGATGAGTAACAGGTATAAGATGCATGAAGAATGAATACACAATTTTATAATGGATAGATGGTCAGAAAATAACAAATGTAAGTATTCAGGTGAAAACAGTTTGATGACAAAATGAAGCCTTGGACAAGGTGATTTTAATCATGTTAAGATTGGGAATTTTAAGTCATTTTTTTACAGCTGCTTTTTATTCACAGCTTCCAATCCTGCTCACAATGGCCGTGTATGCAGCACATGGGGCAACTTCCACTTCAAGACATTTGATGGAGATATATTTTCCTTCCCTGGGCGCTGTAATTATGTTTTTTCATCCCATTGCAATGCTCCTTATGAAGATTTCAACATCCAGATTAGGCGCATATTGGTGAAAAATGTTCCAATAATCAACCGTATCATCATGAAAATTGAAGGTATAATTGCTGAACTAACAAAGGATGTTGTCCTTATCAACAGCAACAGGTGAGTTTATTCATAACACTTGTTTGGTAACCACAGACTTTTTTTTTCTTTTTCACACTTGCCAAGTACTTTGGTGTATTAGGGGGGAAAACAAAAATGTGTTCGTCATTAAATCAGACAATTTTACCAACATAAATAGTGAATAAGTTGCTATTAATCTCTTTCACAGCAAATAAATCCTTCCCGTAAATATTACCTCAAAAGTAAAATTTGGATGAAACATCCTGAGAGGCTGGATCCAAATTTAGATCCATACTTGAGGATGTTGGACCATCTTATTTTCTAATCACTTTTCTTTCCATACAACTGCATTATTTTAGAATCTCTACAGATGCTGGGAACAAGTCTTTTTTTTTTTTTTGTCTTTATCGAACATCTGGCTCAGAAAATACCTACCATTCTTTCTGCCTTTTCCCAGAGTTCAACTTCCATACAGCCAATCTGGAATTACAATAGAGAAAAGCAGCATTTATGTGAAAATTGCCGGCAAGATGGGTGTTATGTTAATGTGGAATGAACATGACAGTGTTCTGGTAAGAACTTCTCCTGGACCTATCTCCACCTCCAGAGACCAGAACTAATCTTTGATTAAGCCAGTCCGTATCTGTTTATGGGGCTGCTATTGCCTTCTCATCTCATCTCATACTATTGAGCAATTCTCTCTTAAGAAAGATAGGTTTGCATCTAGGTAGTTGCTCAGGAAAATCATGTGGATTTACAGCTAGTGGATAACAGACATCTGCTTAAAATAGGGTGAAAAAATCACTTTCATTATAGCATTAACATGTTGCCATTGTTATAGGGCCTACTTACCCCTTCAAGTATCATTTTCTGGCAGAATTCCACTCTCTTAGAACTTCATTTATGCTGTGGATTTGATTTTCTTTCTAGAGAATGAATAGAGAAAAAAACTGAGAGCAATATAGATATCACAGTGAAAAGTCTACATCAATAGCATCAATAGCTTGGGCTCTGCATTGTAAATCAAATCCAAGCTAACAATTCATTCTATCCCCCAGGTTTGAATTACATTGCTAAATAAAATTATACAGATCTGATGAAAAATACTTAGAGGCAGTGGGTGCAGGTGTTTTTAGTGGTTTTAAATATATTTTAGAAAGTTTATACTAACTTCTGTCAACTTACTGTCCATCATTTTAGCTGGAGTTGAATGAGAAATATGTCAATCAGACCTGTGGACTTTGTGGGGACTTCAATGGCATTCCGATGTTCAATGAGTTCTATTCAAACAGTAAGTTTTTTAAATAATAAAAATTGGTTTCAGGGATCTCCAACATATTGGTTTTTTGGGGGTTTTTTAAAATTCTTTTAACTCTAACATCACCAGCATTCCTCTTTCATATCCTATTAAGTGATTTACCCAGAAGATAGGATTCAACATCTGTTGAAAAATATATAGTACAGAGATCAGATAATGTGAGGGTGCTAACAACTGATTGCATATGTCTTGTATGTCATGGTTTTATTTACCTAATCAGCTAATCCCATAAAAATCAGACATATTTTCACTAATAACATAAATAAATACAGAACTATATTCAATAAAACAAAAGGCAATTGTATTGTCTAGTCAGTACATTTATTGTTTCGGTTCTGTCTTAAAATTGGTGTATTCACATTTCCCTGCTGAATTGTATAATCTTTATAAGAACTTATCTTCATCATTCTATCTATTCCCAGCCTGAGCTTTTTCCTAAACCTTGTCTCCATTGTCCAAACCCATGTTTAGATTCTTTTCTCTCTTCCCTGCATAGGCTCAATATAGTCTGAAAAGTTTGTTACTCTTCTGGTAAAAATCTTAGTTTGCATGTAGATGGAATAGGCTGAGAATTGTTTTCTAATGTTTACTTTTTCCAGGGTGCTGTGCAAGGTAAATTGAGACAGTGATTTTGTGCTTCCTTTCGAAGGGATGATGATCAAATTTAAAGACTTAGGGAACTAGCTGCCTTGGGCAGTCTTGAGCAGACTTCTTGAGAGGAGAAAAAGATAACAGGCAGTTGCATTGAACAAGAAAATCCAAATTTTATTATTAAACTTCTTTTGTATAGATATTAAGATGACACCCTTGCAGTTTGGGAACATGCAGAAAATGGATGGGCCAACAGAACAGTGTGAAGATGCCATTTCTACTCTGCCAGATAATTGCACTCAAAATTTTGTAAGGATCTTTTGACTATTTTTTTAATTTTCTTTCAAATTTATCTGTATTTTTCTACAGATGGATCAACAGGAAAAGCCCTTGGGCAACAGCAACTTAAAGATATAAGATTTTCTTAAAGAATAAATTATACAAAGTAACGATACAAAAAAATTGCTCCTTTCTGTTTTCTGGAAGCTGATTTGTTTTTTTTTTCTCCCAAGGATGACATCTGCCAGAAAACATTGACCAGCTCTGCATTTGCAGAGTGTAATGACCTAGTTGATGTTACAGAGTACATTATGACTTGCCAAGCTGACTTGTGCCGCTCTGAAGAGGCTGAAAATGCCTCATGTATCTGTGACACCTTTGCTGAATACTCCCGGCAGTGTGCTCATGCTGGTGGGCATCCTCTGAACTGGAGAACCTCAAAACTGTGCCGTAAGTATCACTGGAGAGAGCTTTACTTTATGATCAGTAACTGACAAACAACAAGCTCTCAAATAATGCTGAGGATGCATGAAAAATTACAGGCCATTCGAGATTGTATTCTCTGATATACAAGTTCCAGCATGAAGACTTCAGCAAAAGAGCTAAAGGTTTTAATGCAAACTGGATTAAACACTAGCAAACATGTAGATGGATACTCTAATTGAGACTCAAAGTGTTATTTAACTAACTGGGATGGAAGCAAATAAAGGAGAAAGAGGAGAAAGAGTGAGGCGTACTTGCCTGCTTGTATTCCTGTTTCTCTCCTTTTCTGATGTTTGCTATAGCATTTTTTATTCTCAGTTACTAACTGATTGGGTCTTCAGAGGTGTTTGGCTGGTTAAACACTTAGTTATCTCCTCTTGCTTGGTAGTGAGGAGTTTGTACCACTGTAGTCTTCATAGAGATTTGCACTGAATTAAACACATACTAGATTACGGGGTGTAGCTGTTGATACTGTCATCAGCATTTGGTCCAGAACAAAAGCCCATGAGGTACTATTTGCCCTTCCAATGGTATCTGAAAAATGCAAATGTATTAAAGCTGTAGGAATTTAAGTCTTAAATTTCACTAGAATACAGGTATTCATGAGGAGAGTGCTTTGAGTAGAAACACAAGCCTTGCTGACTTTGTGGGGTCATTATCTTGCTGTCCCCAGAAATCCAGTCATCGAGCCAGTTCAACACCAGTCATGGAAAGCACATCTCAACTGTCAAATATGGATCTAGGTGACTAAATTGGCAAATTTTGAGAGCTGGCCATCAATCTGCAGTTTAGTGTGGTTTTACATCTAGCTGAAAAACTTAAATGAATATAAATATATTTTCATATACAGTGAATATATTTTCATATACAGTGAACAGGACATACTTTTAAATGAAAAAAAAAAAAGAAAAAATCTCTTCTTCTTTAAAATTTCAGCCAAGAAGTGTCCTTACAACATGCAGTACCAGGAGTGCAGCTCTCCCTGTGCTGACACATGTTCCAATCCTGAACGATCCCAGTTTTGTGAAGAACACTGTACAGATGGATGTTTCTGCCCCCCAGGCAAGTTCTTACGTACTCACACCTCTGATCTCAAAGAACAACAGCAGCTTACCTGTAGGATTTGGGCAGGTTCCATGGGCTTTAAGCCTCCTGTATTTGCATTTTTCACAGCTGCAAGTGACAAGCATTTGTCATGTCTTAGCTGAGAAAAGATAGCTGAATTAATTGCCAATACATGTGCAACATTCAGAAAGCAGGAAAGCAGAATAGCAAACAAATCAAGGCCAGTCTCTCAACAAGCTACCTGCACCACAAGAAGTCCTTCTTTCAAAGCAGGTGGAATTTAAGAATACAGAAGTTGAATCCTTCACTGTGCAAACTGGCATAGTCCTACTGTCCTCAGCATAGGTATATTCATTCATGACGGCTGCAGATCTATCTCTAAGATGCTATTTAGGATTTATACCAAACAAAAATAGTGTATAGGAAATGCCTCTTTAATTGATCAAGGTTTTATCTTATTTTTTTTTAATCTAGGGACTGTATTTGATGACATCAACAATTCTGGCTGCATTCCCCATCAGCAGTGCTCCTGTGTTTACAACGGCAACACCTACACTACAGGAGCTTCTTTTTCAGAGCAGTGCCATTCCTGGTAACTTTTGTTACTTTTATAACTTACTATTTCCTCTCATATATTTAATGAGTTTAATGGTTTATTATATGCAATTGCATCATCGGTAATTGATATGTTTATTTAATTGACCGCTGCAGTTCCAAAATATCCCTAAAGAACATTCTTTGTTTTATTTAGCAACAACATTAACTAGCTTTGCACTCTAACTCGAGGTGATCAAAGCAAGGATTTACAATGTTTAGATTTCTCACCAGTCAATTAAATTGCTTCCTCTTTGGGCTTCTCCGAGGGGAATGAAGTTGCAGTCATTTAGGTATTTGCAAATATTGATTTTCTCTGGGGAAAGCAAGGGATGACACAATACAACCTTGATTTCACAATTATTAATCCTGTGCCTGTGCACTACCACATCACCTTAGAAAACAGATATGCTCTCTATCAGGAGTAGACATGGGGTTACATTTCTGTTAGTTTCTAATACATTTGTGTAACAAAACAGAAGATATTTTAATTTGTCATTGTGCTTTATATTAGCTGCAAAAACCAAGCAATTACTCATCCAATACCTGCTGCTGGAGAGTTCAGCTGTCCAAAGAAGCAAAGCAATTAAATAAGCAAAGTGAATGCATACCAGAGGAATTCCTTTTAATGCATTGCATCACATGTTCACAACATTTTGGAAAGTCTTAAACCTAGATTTACTGTGTGTTAAACTACAGCTTGAAGAGCAAAACAGTAGCAAAATAGCTGACCCTAAGGTCACTGTAATTCCTTTTCCTCTGGACCACTGTTACTCATTTCCGCTAACTTGATTCTCTCTTTTCAGTACTTGTAACGGAGGCCGGTGGATTTGCCAAGACATGTCGTGCCCAGGAACATGTTCAGTAGAGGGAGGTTCTCACATTTCCACATATGATAAAAAACATTATGATCACCATGGAGATTGCACCTACGTCCTTTCTAAGGTGGGAATCAGATATTACTAGGTCATAAAGCCTTATACATTTATAGAAAGAAAAGGTGATCTCAATCAACACTTTTAAAACTTACCTCTTTTAACATAAAGATGTTAAAATGCTTCTCACTTAGCCAGATGTTTACTAGAACATATGCTGCCATTCAAATGATAATCATCAGTTAACTATTATGATGTCACAGAACAGTTTATGGTGTTTACTGGGGAATTTCCAGTTCTGTGATGTAGTAATTGCTGAAGTAAAAAAAACCAAAAAAACCTGTATTTTACTGTTCTCTTGAAAAATGTTTTCTCTGTAATTTTTGTCTAGCATTGGTACCAGCTACAGAAAGATGAGAGTTACAGTAGAATTGAATCAGAACATTAGAAATGGGCATAAATAACAACTCCAAATATAGGTATCATCAATAAAATGCAAAAACAGATTCTAATTTTCTCATTGTCTAATCATTACAAAAGGCAATACTGAATCTTAGCTCAAAGAAGGCCTGGGATTTGGGAGAGTCAGGATCTTCTCCAGAAACAGCAGTATTTTTTCAGAGTTGAGAGAAAATTTTACTGGGAAAGCTTCTGTAATTAGCCTTCCATGAAATAACTATTGAGATATAATAACTGTTGTCTTTTTTTTTTTTTTTTTCAGGACTGTAAAGATGAAACATTCACCATCCTGGTGGAACTGCGCAAATGTGGCCTGACAGACACGGAGACATGCTTAAACACAGTGACCCTCAACATGAATAAAGGACAAACTGTAAGCATGGGGAATCACTATTAAAAATATGGGGAGCAAAGAAGCTAGGCCTCACTCAGTCAGGGAACTGCATTTCTCTCTCAAATGGTCAGAATATGCCATAAGTATATTTTATTTTTAATCAAGTGAAAAGAAATTGGTTATGATAATTGGATCAGCCATAAATTTGGCTTTGTGGAAGTTCATTAAGAAAAACATTGTACTCACAAAGCAGAAAAAAAGCTATTTTCTCTCACAATTAGATGGAAAAAGCATGAGCTTTTAGGTTAGAAACTACAAGTACAAGGGTAAGGGATGTATCACAAAAATGTGTTCAAAGAAACCAAGATGATGTAATTCCCTAAGGAGCTGAGAAAGTCTCTTTAAAAATAATTATTTGATGGCAGGGAAAATTAGTAACGTGTACAAAGTGGAAAGAGGGAGGAAGTGAAATCACAAAAAACTACACTTTTTATTCAATCTATTTTTAATTAATATCACTGGAGTCATCACCATTATTACTCTTTGGACTCTAGTTATCCTTCACACAATTGTCTCTTGTTCCTTTTCCTTATCAGGTCATCGAGGTCAAACGTGATGGTGGTGTGTTTGTGAATTCGATCTACACCCAGCTGCCCATCTCAGCAGGTATTTTTTTTCTCTAAGAGTCTGTGAGCAATAAGCTCAGAACTTCAATTCCACATCTGCTTATTTTCTTAAACTGTGGAAGATAAAAGGACTGTGAGTTGTTCAGAACCTTCATGTTCACACCTTGGTTCTCTTTGGGATATTTCCCGAGTCACACAAGTGCTTTTGAAGTAGAAGTGGGAAGTTTGATGTCATAAAGAAATGGAAGACAGTACAAGCATAGGCAAGAGTTCAGACAGAAGCAAACAGCATGTACACTTCCCGATTTGATCACTCTAAGGTTTACTTCCTTCTCACTGCCCAAAATTGAACGCAGAAGACATCTGTTTACCTTTTCTACCTCTTTTTTTTTTTAAACTTACCACGCCTGTTCTCACTTTTCCTCAGACAGAAATTTGATTTTTGCTCTCTGTCTCAATAACTAATTATTCTATGTGATATCTCTGACCTCCAGATCTGCTTATTTTCCCTCTCCAGCAGAGTGAGGGCTCCAGTGTACGCTGTACAAGCTTAAAAACAAAAATAGAAGCATTCTTTTTAATGCTCAGTGCCATACAGTTTTTCTTTCTTGTTCTCTTGGAAGAATTAATCTCCAACTACTTAATGTTGAGACAGCCAATAAAGTTAACAACTCAGTAGCTACAAGCAAATTCTGAACTGTAAATTTTTATTTTGTATTTCTGATTTATTTTCATAAAGATTTATTTTATTTCACCTCAGAATACGCAACAAATGTGATAGAAATTCAAGAATAGTATAATGATGCACTGTTTCCAGCATTTGACCTCATTCAGGAAGTGATCATTCTGTTTTTCATCTGTAGCTAATGTCACCATGTTCAGACCTTCATCATTCTTCATCATCATGCAGACGAACTTTGGCGTCCAACTTGAAATCCAAATCATACCCATCATGCAAGTGTTTGTGCGACTGGACCCTACTTTCAAAAACCAGACCTGTGGTAAGTGAATTTAAATATAAGAATATCTTGCTTAATGTCTTTTATCTAATATGAGCAGTATAAACTTTTCACTGCTTTTCAACAGGTCTCTGTGGAAATTTCAATAATATCCAAACTGACGACTTCAAGGTCATAAGTGGAATAATTGAAGCAACAGCAACAGCATTTGCTAACACATGGAAAACGCAGGCTTCGTGCCCTAATATCCAGCACAGTTTTGAGAACCCTTGTGCACTCAGCATTGATAATGGTACGTGCTTCTTAGAATTTTTTCTAGGTTGTTTTTTTTTTTCCTTGTCCCTTAGAAAAACACATCCACTGGGAAGCAAAGATAAGATAATAAAGGCTTATATACTTGGTAAAAGCATACATCTGAAATCAGAAACCAGTAAGCGAAATGAAAGCACTAGGGATAAGTAACAAAATAAAGGAAGAGTCATAGAAACACTACAGAAGGAAACTGTATGGTCACTGAAAACAGAGAGGATGTCTAAGCTGTCAGAGGAGTGGACTGCAGGAATATCTTTGGAAATCTTTTATTCATTCCCTTCAGCAAGTCCTTTTCTTTGGTTTTAGGAATCTCAGCCCACAAGCTGAGTGGAAAAAGGACAGAAAGAGAGATTTGATGTAATTTCAGAACTGGCTTCATAGACCAGGGCAGTGTGGTTTTGTGACTAATGAAATACAGGAGTAATGTGCATTTGTATTTTTTGTTTTCTTCACAGAAAAATACGCTCAGCATTGGTGTGGACTACTAACTGCCAGCAGAGGACCTTTTGCTGCGTGTCATTATGCAGTGAATCCTTCTGTTTACCACACGGTAGTTTGTTAAACTCTTTTCCCCTTTAGAAACAATAGAAATAGGTTCATTTCAACTAGCTACCAGAAAAGGACTGTTCCAGACATATCTCTTCTTACACAATACCTGTATTTTCATTTCTGTACTGCAGCACTTCCTCCTTTCAACATGTGTTTCTGTTTGTGTTGTAACATTTACCTTATTTCAACTGTCAGCCTTAGCTTCAAGATCCTGACTTGCTTGTAAATGAAAAGACAGCTATTTACTCCTGGATGGATATACAAATACAGTAGGAAGTGTATGGAAATGCATGTCAAATGCTTGTTAAAATATCAGTGACTTGTTGTCTCATCAGTCTCATCTCTCATTAATAACTACTTGGCACAGAAAGCCCATTAGCTAATTATCATCATTCAGCTATCAATGTGTTGTCAATCTCTCTTCTCACTACGAATCATCCAGATATGGACATTGGTGAAATGACATGTCTAGACTGCGTAGTGGGGATAGAGCTTTGTATGCTATTGTGCAGCATATTCAGATATGGTTCAGAGGAACATGAAGCTGTTAAATGTATTACAGACTTTTAAGATCACTATTTCCCAATAATAACTGCAGACATAGACTGAATTTCCATTACCTTCATTCTCCCCTGCCAGGAAACTTAGACAAAGACTGGAAAGCAATAAACCTATGTTAGCATTGTCTATGAGTGAGCGTATCTGAAGAAGAATTAGGGCATAAGACCAGAAAGATAACGTTCATTTTTTTTTAGATTGACAATATTACCACTGCTGAGACCTTATTTTTCTCTGCCTTAGAACTGCATGTTTGACACATGTAACTGTGAAAATAGTGAGGACTGTCTGTGTGCAGCCCTGTCTTCTTATGTGAGAGCTTGTGCTGCGAAAGGAATCCAGCTGCGTGGATGGAGGACTGATGTCTGCTGTAAGTACTCTTAACTATCCCCTTTCCTAAGAACACACATCAGTAAAAACTGCTGATCAGAGATTATTTTATATTAGTTTCTAGACAAACATAGTAAGTGTTGAGGAAGGGATTTTAAGTGCACTCCTGGAAGTAATTATCTATTGTTCCCTTAGAATCAATCCATTGCTTGCAAGAGTGGATGTGAATAGATGGGAGATGTAGCTTGCTTAGGAAGGAGATTTCTGTTATGGAAGTGCCTCTACTTGTTTCTATGCAACTTTAAATTTCACTACAGCTTTATATATGACAAGTTATTGTTGAGAAAATGTGGCATATTAGAATAGCAGTACTAGTAATACTAACCAGAATACCTGCAAATGAAAGGTCTCTGAAGCTGTATGCTGGGTTCCACTGATCCAGTAGGCCTGTTTTCAGCATACCAGGAGACATTCAGGGAGACATCCCATACTTCAAAAGGTTTAGAAGTCTTGGCAATGAATGGCAGCACCAAATGGAGGTTCCTTTCCAAAATTTTGTTTGAAAAACTATTTTCTTCTTTGCATACATCACTTATTCCACATGTACAGTGACTTTTCAGGTCTAACTCTGGAAGTATTCAGAAATACATTTACATGAAAGATGCAGCATAGGCAGAGGTGTATTGTTTACATTTTATTTCTACTGCTTATGGTTTCTTTTTTCCCACCAGAAATTACCATGTGGAATTAACAAACCTATTCCCTTTTCCTCTTTCAAGCAAAATACACCACCTTATGCCCCAAGTCCCTAAGCTACAGCTATACCATCGATTCCTGCCAACCCACCTGCCGGTCCCTGAGTGAGCCTGATGTCACATGCAACATTAAGTTTGTCCCAGTGGATGGCTGTACCTGTGTAAATGGAACCTACATGGATGAAAGTGGCAAATGTGTGCCTGCTAGTGAATGCCCCTGCTACTACAGAGGATCTCCCGTATCATCTGGAGAAGTTGTCCATGAAAATGGGCTTGTATGGTAAGTGAATCTTTTGCAAAATACTCAAACAATAGTATATGTATTTTTTTCATCAAAATCTGCTACATTTAAACTGGTCTCACCCTGCTTTGCCTGAATTTCAATACGGTGCTCTCTCATTTTTTTCCAACTTTAACTTTTAAGAATGTTAAGCTGGAAGACAAGGAGCAGAATGAAGCCCCTGTAATCCAAGGGGAAATGGTTAGTGACCCGCTACACCACTTAGACACAGACAAGCCTGTGGAGCCAGATAGGATTCACCCAAGGATACTGAGGGAACTGGCAGAAGTGTTCACCAAGACACTTTCTATCATCTGTCAGCAGTCCTGGCTAACTGGGAAGGTTCCTGTGGACTGGAAGTTGGCAAATGTGATGCCCACCTACAAGAAGGGCTGGAAGGAGGGCCTTCTACAGGCCTGTAGTTTTACAGTTGGACATGATGATCTTAAAGATCTTTTCCAACCTACATGATTCTATGATATTTCCAGATAGAGCTATGTATTTAGATGCATTTTCCTTTTAATTCCATCATTTTTCAAGCATAAAATTATGACAATACCAGCAAAGAGAGATCTTATGAGAAAGTAAGTAACAAGCAGAGACATGTACTCATTTCAACCTGTGATTTTTCCAGTTAAGCCATAATGGGTGTCATATGAAAGCAGCACTGGCAGTGGTATAGAGAGAAATTTTTTCCTGAGACTTCAAAACGGTATTCTGGAATTCCTTTGAAAATTCTGAAATTTGGCAAGAGAGAAATAGCTCTCAGTCTCAATACATTGTTTGAGAGGTAAAAAATATGTGTATCCCTCTTACAGCACTTGCATCCAGGGAAGACTGCATTGCATTGGAAAACCCAATCCACCTCCAGGTAAAAAAAAATAAATAATCTTTCACTTACCTTTTTCTTTGTGCTAGGTTTGGGGCAGAAGAAGTTGACTTTTCTTAATGGATTTTTAAATAATAGAAGTATTTCTTATTTAGTTATAGTGCAATGTTTATCACAAAAGTCAGGAGTGAAGCTAGACTGATGACAAGATCTCTTTTTCATAAAGGTTTTTTTCTGAAATACTTTGAGTTTTTTTTCTGTGAATCCAGTATTCTGAAGTGAATCAATTTAGCAGGTTAAATAGGGACAGCAATCCCTACTAACTGAAATAAGCAATTTCCAAAGAATTTCTAGGTGGCTTTAATGGCTACAGCTGTGGGATAAACCTTGTGCCATTTCTTACTGCTCTCACTTCTTTCCTTCCTATAGCCTGTGAATCTCCCATGGTCTACTTCAACTGTAGAAACATCACTGCAGGGACAATTGGAGCAGAATGTCAAAAAAGTTGCCAGACTCTGGATATGCAGTGTGTAAGTGGCATGGCTGGATGAAATGCTGCTTTCAGGTTTTGTCTGTGCTTTTGGTGCATCTATCTGATGTACTCCAAATCTACACCACAGATACTTTGTTCTTGTAGCAAAAGTCTAAAACCATGTTATGAAGCATTAAAAATTGAACCCTTAGACCAAAATATAATAAAATAACACTCAGGTTCATTCATAAGACTAGTGCCTACCTTTCTTCAGCTACTGCAGGTAACAATAATTAGTAGTGAAAATATCTAGAGCTCTGCCACACCTTTTACTTCTTTAGGAGAAAATTACTGGCTATAAACTGGCTAGGAGAAATCATTCTTTCTCATACCATGATGCAGTTGTGAACTTCTTGCACATCTAATTACATTACTCCACCTAGGTGCATGGTAGCCACATGCCATCTCACAAATAAACACCTTATGAAATAAACAGATTTCGGTGTAACTCAACCAAACTGAAAAAAAATATTACTTATTTTCTTTTTAAAACTCCATTTGATCACAAATCACCCACTACGAAATGCAAGGCTTCTTCAGCTAACACAGAGCAGGACTTAAGATTCAGTGTATTTCAAATCCATAGACTCCAGCAGAGCAATCAGGATTGGCATAGGTAAAACATTTAACAGACCTATAGTCTATTAAATCAATGGCTCATAATTTCCTCTTTGTTCCATTGTCCTATAAGTACTTCATAGTCCTCTCCCATTTAAGATGGGAAATAACAAGAGTATAGAAAGACATTTTATGAGAATTTAATCTTCTTTTTTTTCTATTGTGATTATTTCATTCTGAAATTCTGTCTTCCTCTTGACTTTTCCAGTATAGCACACAATGTGTGTCTGGCTGCGTGTGCCCAGCTGGGCTTGTGTTAGATGGGAAAGGTGGTTGTATTCCGGAAGAGGAATGTCCATGTATTCACAATGAAGCCATGTATCAGCCTGGGGAAAAGATCAGCGTTGACTGTAACACCTGGTAAATATTTCCTTGGGAGCATCATTCCTGGTTCCATCATTTGCCTTTCCAAAAATCTGAAATAGTACAGCAGTGAGGAAGGATTTGTATTGCTCATTTCATCAACTGATGGAGCTTTTAGTTTTGGATTTAACACTATGAGCAGGTTTCCTTCTGATGTGGGCAGACAGCCAAAGCACAGAATGGGAGGAAGTCTTTGGGACTGCAGTGCCCATTAAGTGTTATCCTACATTGCAGTTAATGCATTCAGAGTACACAGCTGAACACAAACTGAACACAACTTTGCTTTAACTCTTCACATGAAAATTGTAAAAGACTATTTTAATTCCAGAATCAATATAACATTTACCAGGGACGAGTTGCCAAACAACTACTGAGTTGTTGGGATATATCTACACAAAACAGTGAGTTGTTTTATTATTAAAATGTTTTATTCTTATTCCTAGTGTCTGCAAGAATAGGAAGTGGGAATGCACCGAAGATCAGTGTCTGGGCACTTGTGCTGTCTATGGAGATGGGCATTATAACACCTTTGATGACAAAACATTCAACTTCAATGGAAACTGTGAATACACACTAGTCCAGGTACTGATAATTAGCAGTAGTAAATGAGACATAACCTTGACTGTGTCTACAAAAATAATATATATTTAAATGTTGTTCTCTATCCAGGACCACTGTGGGAAGAATGGCATAGCCAATGGGACCTTCAGGGTTATCACTGAAAATATTCCCTGTGGCAACACTGGGACAACTTGCTCAAAATCTATCAAAGTTTTCTTAGAGGTAAGGAGGTTTTGCAAAATCAACATGTAAATTAAGCTTAGATCAGATTCCAGTGAAATATTTGGTAGATCTTCCCATCTTTCTATCTTTTTAATTTCCCACTCTATCTTATACCACTCTTGGGCAAATGACAGATCTACAGGAAAATTGTCTTTAGCAGAAATTTAGCCAATCATGTCAGAAGATTATTTCTTTTTCTGTGCAATGTAGTTCCTGCACAACTACCAAAACACCCTTTTTTGACCTATGCCATTTAAAATACCTTTTTACCACAGTTCCAGGAACCTGAGATTTGAACCATGTAGTTTCGATTTATCACATTTGGATTATTTGTTTTCATTATATAAACTCTTAAAAGCAGAAAAACATGTTTAAGAGCACAGCTGCAGCCACTGAGTTCATTTCTGATCACCTTTTCCTCCTGTTTCAGAGCTATGAATTGATACTTGGTGAGGAGCACGTCAGTGTTGTAAAGAGAGGAGAAAATGATGAGGTGCCATACACAGTCCGTTATATGGGTATGTACTTGGTCATTGAGACCACAAGCGGACTGATCCTCATGTGGGACAAGAAAACCAGCATCTTCATCAAGCTCAGTCCTGATTTTAAGGTGCGGAACTAGCAGTTAAATGGCAATTTACAGTCCAGATTTGAACTGGGTGTGAATTTTGTTGAGACCCTGCCAAGATCCCAAACAGGTGACGTCTCTAGCATTCCAGCAGGACATCTCATGTTGTTTTTCATTCCTCTGGTGCCTCAGGAAGCCATGTCATCATCCTGCTGCTGTCCTGAGCTCTGAAGGCAGCTTTTAGTGCCTATTTGGCCTGACAGAACTTGAGTAGGCAAACCGCTTTTTCAGACTTGACTGTGTTAAAATTACCCACTGAACCTTGGTAAAAGTTATCAGACCTTATTAAAATTATATAGCTACATGTGTAGAAATCAATTGAGTAGTCTTGATCTTGAAAGTAGTCCATTGTTTCCAATTCTCATTGACACACAAATCAAATTATCATATTAAAGAACAAGGAAATGAAATATTATGAGCAAAAGCTTCTTGTAAAATGCTACCATGTATTTTTCAAGCATATATCTACACAGGCGATAAGGAAATTGTATTCCCGTTGTCATACTCCTTCTCTAGCTTATGATATATAAGTACTAAAAACTGTAGTAAATGAGGAATTTGCTATCTTATTCTATACCACAATGACATTTCAATTAGGTATGTAAATAAAGTGTCATTTAGAACTAGATATACAAATTTATTTCAGTATCATAGGTTCTTTTGTTGCCTGACCCACTCACTGCTTTATAAAAATAGTAGTAATATGGAAAGTATGCACCATAGAGAAAGCACAGTGTCTATTGCAGCTTATCACAGTTTTACATTTAGAATGAGGGATATTTCTGGATGTGGAAGGAAAATGTAATTTCTTTTTATAACTATGAGCAGTCACAGCAGTAAAGATTCAATGAGTAGACTATGTGGCGGGCCTGGTAGTATTTATGACAGCTTTGTAAAGCTGTTTTTTATATGTACGTGTATTGTATAAAACAAGGATTAAATGAAAAGCTTAACCAGCTAACTGTGAGCCCTGGTTTCCTTGTTAAAGACATACCTCAATGACAGAAGTTTACAATGACAAAGAAGGTTTTATTGTTCAGATTTAAAGAAGAAAAGTCAACAACACTATCTTTCTAGCCTTAGTGGTTGTGTTCTGCTGCTGAGGAAACAAAGGATGAAGATGTTCAGGAAGGTTACAATGGAATGGTACCATTCTAAGAGCTGAATTTCAAGTACTCTCTCAGTCTCAGGTGTTGTTTCAAGTTTTCTCACATCCATTGTTATTTTATTTACTTTTGCAGGGCCAGATCTGTGGCCTCTGTGGAAATTACGATGGCAACGGCATCAATGACTTTACTACAAGGAGTCAGTCTATGGTAGAGAATGTCCTAGAGTTTGGAAACAGCTGGAAAATATCCTCTACATGTCCTGATGCTCACAGCATAAAGGACCCATGTTCTACCAACCCTTATCGAAAGTCCTGGTCGGAGAAGCAGTGTAGCATCATCAACAGCAATGTCTTTGCTGCCTGTCACTCTCAGGTATCACCAGGGTAGAAGTTTACTGTCTGAAGATTAAGTCTGTGTGTTATTGAAGCTGCTATCCTCATACATTTTAACATGCACACCTAATTCATTAGCATATTTCACTTGGAATTGTGTCAGGAAAACTTCAAGCTGAATCCCAGTCAATGGGAAAGATTTATAGTCCCTGCCTGTATTAAATACAGGGACATTTAGTTCACAGGAAATATTGACCTTTTACAAAAAACTAGTAATTTCATAATTACTATGGATTTTCTTGCAGTATGGCTTGAATAAAAATTCTCACATACCACGTACAGAACACAAGCTCAATTAAGTAATCTCCTAGTAATGAAGTATCAGCATAGCCTTTCTCTGACACTGAGTATGTACCAAACAATGCAGAGTAGCTCTGTGCTCTTCCTATTCCCTTAGTTCTTTCCATGGGCAGAGAGCTTGGTTTTCAAGCACAGTTACCTAATGTTGCTTGGGAACATGAATCTAATCTTCCACTAGGACACAAGTCTAGGTGTCTAAAAATTATCAATACATGATTTGGATGCATCATCTGGCATCACCTCTGGTGTTTAGCAGTGTGTATAAACAAAAGAAACTCCTGATGTAGGCCTTTCTTCCGAGATACTACGATTTTAAGAAAATTATCCCTAGCAAAACCGAGTAAGAATTTAGAAGGCAGGATGTATAGTGTTATATTTCTTTTTAATAACAGGTTGAGCCAGCAAAATATTACCAGGCATGTGTGACAGATGCTTGTGCCTGCGACACTGGAGGAGACTGTGAATGCTTTTGTACAGCAGTAGCTGCCTATGCTCAAGCATGTAGTGAAGTGGGCGTCTGCGTCGCCTGGAGAACCCCATCAATCTGTCGTGAGTTTTATGTCACAAACACTTCTGAGAGTGTAGTTAAGTGTACAGTGCCTTGCTGATGTCCTGGAACACACACTCTGGATGTCTTACATATGTGTATTATCATCTCACCCTATAGACTTTTAAAGTCTACATTAAACAGCATTAAGCTGTTTTGATGGTCACAATTTCACCTGTTCATTCACGGGTTTGACTCAGGACTTGTAGCAGCATTGCAGTTATATGATGAATGGACATGAGTCAAAAAAAAGCTCTTTTTTTTTCTTCTTTTTTCTGAACATGTTGAAATTTCTGTTTCTCCTTAGCTCTGTTCTGCGATTACTACAATCAACAAGGGGAATGTGAATGGCATTATAAGCCTTGTGGAGCCTCCTGTATGAAGACCTGTAGGAACCCAAGTGGAAAATGCCTCCATAACCTGCCAGGTTTAGAAGGTAAAATTGCTGCAAGTACCTTTACGTGGGCACATTTTATTGTATTTTTAATGGTCTTTAACAGAGTGTATTTCCCCCATCAGCTGCATTTGCAGCATTCAATTATCTTTAACATCGCTGCATGCACATGAATGGAAGCAGAGTACAGAAACTGGAGTTAAAGACATCTCTAGGACTAAGTCCTTGTGGGTGGGCTCTGGTGGATGATCCTAGAATTGGATACTAGAAATGATAGATCCTAGAAATGGATCTATCCTAGGTAGATCCATTACTACTTAGAATTATTGGAAAATATTAAGTAGTAAAAGTTATGACTATTAAGACCCTCAAACACATTCTGCATATAAACCCCTTTTGCTGCCTATATCGCATTCTCACCTTTTCTACTTTCTCTGTGCCCTTTTCCTTCCCTCAGGCTGCTACCCTAACTGCCCACCAGACAAGCCATATTTTCATGAGGATGAGATGAAGTGTGTTAGTCTCTGTGACTGTTATGATAATGAAGATGGGAAGATATATAAACGGGATGAATGTAATGTATGGTAAGACTTCACATATGAGCCTAATCACACACAAGGAAAACCATTCAAAACAGTAGAGGGAATTTGCATGTTCCTGTTACACAACAGGACTAGTTTATGTTGCCTGTGTAAAAATAATGCCTTACTATCTAATGCCAGCTTTCCTACTACATTAATAGTAAGGAATTCTTATGTGATTTTATGTTCTGTTGACTTTGGTTCCTGATTGTGTTGTAAATCTTCAGCACAAAGATACAATAAGAACGGTAACTCCTTACAACCAAGCTTTCTCTATTTCCCATTCCTATGGCAGGAATAAAAATAGTGTTCCAGGAGTATAGATATTTAATAGGGGTCTACTTCCAAGGAGTTTATTACATTCTTATTCTGCTTGTAGTATTTAGACTAAATTATAGCCTGCTTTTTAGTACAAAAACATTGCAAGTGCAAGGAAAGCGATAAGGAGGAAAGAAGAGAAGTTTTCCTTAAGACGTCTACCTGTAGCTTTGCATAATATTTAGCTTCACTTCTATTTATAAATTTGGGTTTAATATAAAGAAAGATTTTTGAAAACAATGGCAAAAAAGAAGCCACCATGAACTGGACAGTCAAGGAATACACACAAGTGTCCTGTCTTTTGACGCTAGTATCTGGCAGAAAGATGACTAATCCAGTTACCTCATAATTTTTTAAAAGTGCTTTTTAATGTTTTTTATTTCAGTGAATGCACGTCAGAAGGTTTACAGTGCAAGTTTGATGAGAAAGGTAAGACAGCTGAGAAGAATTATTAAGAAAAGGAAATACTGGATGTTATCTTTTCATAGATGCCTGACAATAAACTTCTGAATTCCAGCATGCCACTGCATTTACGAAGAGAACTACTTTAAATATGGTGAACTCATCTACAACACCACAGATGGAACTGGATGGTGTTTCAGTGCAACATGCGACGTCAATGGAACAATAAACAGAAATATCTTTAGATGTGGCTTCTCTACAACAACCCCGTTTACATTTTCTACAAGCCAGCCCACAACTACTGCTTCAGGTACACAGAATACTCTTTAAAATAACTGAAAAATCTCTGGGAGGTACTGAAAATTGCCTGAAAAATTGCACTTTTTCATCAGTTAATGGCATATAATTTTACCTGAAACTGTTCACTTCTGCTGGAGCCACCATCTGGCAGCTTCAGTTGCTAAAGAAGACCATAATCAAGGATGTAGAAATGGGTTCAGCATTTCTTAGAAACTCAGTCTCCACTGTTTCACTAGGGTTTTTCCAGGGGAAAAAAAATAATAGAGCTTATTAATCATTGCACCTCTGTTCCTTGCAAACAAAACCAAGCAGTTGTAGAGCAGCTTCTGAAAACACAGAAGACAATTACTGCTGGTTTTTAAATTACTGACCACATTAGAGCACCAGAAGATGAGAAATCTAATTTGAAGCAATGCTCAAATTATCTAAGACCATTCTTTAGAACCTTTCCTAACTGTATTTAACAACCAAATCAACAGTTTCCTTCTACTCCTGCAGTACACTTCTACACTGGTCCTGCAGTTAACCCATTATAGTCATCATGTAATTATGAAAAATTTTGAGAAATATTTCCACAAAATTATACAATACTACAGCAAGAACTAAATATTCAGCTTCAACTCTTCTATTAAATAACATTCATATGAAAAAAGTGGTACATATTCCATATGCTTACCTTCATAATGCTAAGAATGTGAAAAGAAATCTTATTAAAATAAGTATAAAATACTTATTAGATTCTATATTTCGTATATATTGTATTGTGTACTCTATAATACTGTATTTTGTACTCTATATTATAATGTATTACATATAAGATACATATGTATTAAATATATTTTTTATATTTTATATTTATAAATATATTACATGTTATAATATTAAAGTAGAAAAGTCATTAACCTGTAAAACCTGTATGGATATACAGTTAAGTGTAAATAAGTACAGAGATAATACCAAGGAGAAAAAAACCTCCTCTTACTTATACCATAGCAATTGTGAGATCACATTATCCTATGTATTGATATCATATTAGCTATTTTCAACTAAATTTTTTTAATAAATATCACATAAAGTACCACTAGAAAAATAATACAGACATGAGATCAAAACCTACCTTAGAAATTAAATTCAAGACTATGGAAGCAAGTTCATTAAAACTAAAATACGACATTAACATATATAATATTACATACAACACTGAAATGTATGGAAGATGAATAATTGTTTCAGGGCACTTTCTTTAATAAGAACAGACAAGACTTATATTTCCTCTTTTTAATTACAGAATTTACAACTGCAACACCAGTGACAACTGTATGTGTGAAGAAAGTATGCACGTGGTCAGACTGGTATGATTCCACACAGCCTGAAAACAAAGACGAGAGTTCAGGAGATTATGAAACATTAGAAAATCTCAAGGATGAAGGATACAGTGTGTGTAAAAACCCAGACGCTGTTCAGTGCAGAGCCAAAGATTACCCAGATATAGAAATAAACCATCTTAACCAGACGGTACAATGCAGTCCGAGCGGAGGACTAATATGCAACAACAAGGACCAACAATCTAAGCAGTGTTATAACTATGAAATCAGAATATTGTGCTGCAGCTACATACCCTGTTCAGAAATACCAGCTACAACGACACCAAGAACCACAGAAGAAATCACAACAACTACTGCTGTGACATCAACAGCATTTACGTTACAGACAAAGATAAAAACAACAACACAAAAAGAAACTCAAGCGCAAAAAACCCAAGAACCTACAACAACATCGACAGAGAGCGAAACCACAACTCCTCTGCCTCAAACGTCAGTTACAGCAAAAACATCAGCAGTCCCAACAACAGCTTACCAGAGCACGTCCCCTCCAGTGGAAATCACCACTGCGGAAACCCAGACATCGCCATCACCTACTACTGCCTCCACCCTCCCCCAGTCAACAATGACAACCACTGCTGGAACCACCGTAGTCCCCACTACCACAGCCCCACCAACACAAGGAACAACCA